CCTGAAAGCTAAGGCGCCCAGTAAGATTTGCCAAGTGAGGCGCTCGGTAAGAGACACCGTACCTTTGCGTGTTGGTTTGCCTCTTTTAAAAAACGCTTCACAGAATGGCAAAGTGGTATGGTGTTTCTGACAGGCGTGACGCCAAGCGGGAAGGATTCATGCGCCAAGATCCTCGTCCAACAAGATCACGGACGATGCGATGGCTCCGACTCCGATTCCCACCTTCTATCTTCCTCCTCGGCTGCCGGGAATCGATCTTTCCGCGGGCCGGTCTGTCCGTCCGTCCCAATTTGATTAGACCACTGAGTCTCTAGTCGACCCCGTTGTCGTGTCACAGCCCACGAGGCTGAAGGTTAGTAGCCCACCCAGAACTCCCTCTCTCACGGCTAAACCCTCTGTTTATCGAGAGAGAGGGGTTTTTGCCGGTATGGAGCGAAAATCTCTACTGATTCACGTGCATGAGTGGCGTTTGATTTGTTTCTCGTATGATCAGTGTGGTGTGGTGGCACAGGGGCGTTGCGATTGAGGTGACTAGGGTTTGAGTTACATGTCGGGCAGCATACCAGCACAACCTTCTTGCTTCTGCAGATGACAACACCGTTGCATATTACGAGGCAGGTGCAAGTCAGTTGAAAATTGAAAGGTTTGTATGTGACGAACAATTGCTGTGAGGTGCAATTTTTGATCTCGGCGTTCCGACAACCCGGCTAGGATGAGCACTAAACTTGATAAGACCCGAGCATATGAAGCGATAAGCTAAAGATTCCGTGAAGGGAAAAGCGTCACTTTGTTGCGTGCACTCACTCGAAGGAGGTTAATATACGATCTTGGCATTTGGGCTTGGCGAATGAAACAATGATCGCGGCTTTGCGCACTTCTCCGTGGAGCATTGGTGGCTTGAAGGCTTGAAAGGGCCGGGCCTCCTGGCGCCTCCCGCTCTTCCTTTCCAAGTTTTGTACGGAAGTTGCCCGAATGGAGAACAGCCTCTCTACTCGTGAGGAAGTTCGTTCACCCGTGCAGTCCACTTGAGGTTCCTAGCAGACAAATGTGTGTTGAGGAGACTTAAGCACCGTGCTGACTACACGAAGCAATGGCATTCCTGAACCTGACCCTCATGCTCGGAAATAGATGTCCAGGCCAAGTCTTCACGGTAGCAGTCCCGAGAAAACACATGCCGATCCACTCTATGGGTAAACTTGCTGAGCGGTCAGTGCTCACTGGAGGAAATCGCTGATAGGCCGTTCTCCGCGACTTAATAACGCAACTTTCCAACTTGTTGCGCGGTGCGGGGCTGCCCACAGCATCCATTCGACTCTAAAGCCCTGAGTCGGTTCCACATACGGATATTGGTCCATGAAATCCTGCAGCCTTCAGATGAGGCTCTACAGGGTGAAACACTCTTCGGTAAGCATCCCTCGAAACAGCAAGAGAACGTATACTAAATGAGCTCTAGTGCTTACGGGGAGGCTGTGTTGGCGTACGCAACCCAAGAAATCCTAGTCTATGTGGCTGACTACTATAGGCCAGTTTGTCAATGTCACGTTATGCATAACTGCATGTGCTATATATTGTGCCCGGACAGGTATTGACTGCCTAGAATAACTGGAATGTTCTACGTCCAGGGAGAGCGAGCACAGACAGGCACAGACAGGCACAGACAGGCACAGACAGGCACAGACAGGCACAGACAGGCATGCATTGTGCTTATGTCGCCTGGAAGACACGAGAACGCAACCACTCACGCATGGGGGACGAGCATTGTCGGTCGCGACTTAAGCTTTGCTGCAGATTTGCTAGAGTGACTGCTCAAGATGCTAAATTGCAATGTGCTTTCTGACTGTGATTACGATCGTACGTATAAGTCAAGTGCCAAATCCACCCTCGTTGGCCCGTAGTGCTATCACACACTGCCTGTCACTCAGTGTTGGCTAGTGTCTTGTCGGAAAGTGGGTCCGGCCGTACGATAAAGTGATCAACCTGTAAAAAGGCTAGCATTACAACTAGGTACCTAGTACTGAGTCTACTGACTACTATTCTTCACTGGCGCATCGGGACAGACCGACGGAGTCAAATTGAGCCACGGCCAATCCAGCCTGGCCAGGCATCGAATCGTTGCGGATAAATAGCCCGGGTAAATGGGCTGATTAGTACCTGGTAGTAGGTACCTTGAGGCTTGGTCAATTATGGTTTCCCAAAACCACAAATCATCCCTCCGCGCAAGGTTACAACCGCAAGCGCCTCCCTCCTCTTTCCTTGGAGTCTTTCGTGCACAAGCGAGAACGTTCTCATCCTTCCAGCTTTTGCGATATTAAGGTGGTATTCGTCAGCCTCCGCGTGTCAAGATACAAGCTGCGCTACAGGCCCTCATTGGGGCGAGATCAAGCCACTACGACTCTACGAGACTAATCCACGCACGTTGCACGCTAGCCTCGAAGGTTAAATGGGGCTTTAATCTAACTTGCTCAGTATGAAATTTCAAACTAGCCGCAAGAGTACGATAAGTGCACAAGGTAAGCAGCCGTTGATCCGTCACCATCTGCGTAAGACCTAACCTTGTGGCGATCCAGTTACGACTGACGAGGTTCGCGCACCGTTGACAGCTAATATTGGATGGGGGTGAGGATTGCACTGCGGTGGGTAAGATTAAGCGAAATTAGACTTCTGGATCCTCCTTCGACTTTATCTCGCACACTCACTAACTCTGGCCCGGAGGCTCAGTTTTCGCCGGAAGAAAGGATGCACCAATCGCAGAACCTACGAATGGCGACAGTCAACCATGTCCTTGTTGTCAGATCTCTCCGTAGGAGGAAAGAGACCTGTTTTATGCTCAATTCATCGAGGATTCCGCTCTTCCTATTGTGCGAAGATCAAATGCTCAACCTTTTTACTCCATTGTGGCTCTCTCTCGCCGAAGCTGTGCTTCTCGGAAGGAACTGGAACTCCCTTCCAAGTTCAGTCCCAGCCTGCTGCAATCTCGTATCCGGAACCGAGCACATGCTTATCTGCGTCACTATCCCCACAACTTGTGCAGTGTCACCTTGACACTCTGAGTGTCGCTGGCGGGTCTCTTGAATCTTGATACCAGTTTGCAGATCACCGTGACAACGGTTCGGCCCGATCCGGCTTTGTGCGACTTCCATTCAGATTTGTGTCGCTGTGCGATGGAAATGAGGACTCGTTCTTGATGGCTGGTATACTATGCCAGTCAGAAGAGCCAGTTCCTCAGTTTCTGGTCAACGATCCTGGCGGTGGATATCCTGCGTCTTGCGGGCGCCATAGGATCGATTATCCCGATAAGGTAAGTCGGTCGCAACGGCAACCCAAGCATCGCAGCGTGCATAAATCCACGCTATCTTAGTAAGTAGTACGTACATGAAGAACTACATACTTAGTATAGTTAGTACTTACAATAGGGTGGTCTGTAAAGAGATTAGACTTAGCGAACGGGCCAATAAGAGGTTTGATAGGACTTTATACTGTGGACACTGCTGTCTCAACAATTTTCAAGGTGGATCAGTTGGCGCGTGGGGTCCGAATGAAGGAAAATAGCGATGCCCTTCCGGTGCTCCGCAGATTATACTAGGTAACCGATTGTCGTTCCCTCTTACATTCCCTCCTACGATGGGGCATTGTGAGGTAGGAGAAAAGTGAAAGTCTCTACACGTGTTTCGACTACCACGGAAGTTTCACTACTAGCGGTCTATGAGGGCGTGACTTGACTCTCTTGTGTATGAATAAGACGAAGTGTCGGTTCCAAGATGTACAGCATGAGACGATCATGAGCTGCTTCCGGCCTCGGGACAACGGCCAATATAATGATATGAGTTTTCATTCGCGCCGGTGGAATCGGCCCGTGGTGTGTGCGTCTTCCAGGCTTACTTTGTACTGTACCAGTGAGGCAGCCCGACCCAGCACGTGCTCTGGTTCTAGATCTCAATCGGTGTTCCCCGAATCCCCTCCCCGACTCGTCCTATCTTTTCGTCTTACATTCAAAGTTGTGAATCGTCCGGCTCCGACCCATGCTTGGCATTGGGGACTTTGCTCGTATTTCCGCCGATCCCTGTCCCATCGGGCTGCCTTGCTTCTGCTTTGGGGACCTTCGACCTTCTGTTCGCCCTTTCGTCCTTTCGTCCTGCGCATGGATGGCTTGTCCATACAGTCATCAACGCTAATTCCCCGTGGCAATGAGGCTGATGTCGGATTGTTGAAAGACTCGGCTTGGCGGTGCACCAGTGAATAGGCTGTTATCATGGTGTGGCAACAAGATTGTTCATTTACCACGAAGTCATAAATATCCCTTGGCTGATTGATTGATTGACTGATTGATTGACACGGCCTTGGTTTGATCGATGGCTGTTCCTGTTCACTCACAACCTCTGGACTATATAGTAGCCGTGATTGGAGCAGCAGGCGCTGCCAGCTTGAGGAGATCGACAAGGTATCGCAAGCCCTTCATCCTTTCTGCAACCTACTCTGAATAGCCCTGCCTTCACAGCAAATCGTTGCCGATACAAGCTAGCTGCCAGAGTCAGTTATCATTAGAGCGTACTGAAGATCCATTCTCCATTCAGCCCGAACCAAGTCCGAGAGTTCAACGAAGATAGCACATGGTCCAACAATTCCACGTGTGGAGTGCCAGACCGGCCCCTTCGGCCGACGTTAAGGACTGCATAGACTACCAGCGAGGAGGTACAGTACAATACAATGCACACTAGATGGGGAAGCACAGATGTATCAACTACCGTCTAGTGTAAGTTGTGGTGCATGGGGCGGCCCACTGTGACGTTTACAATTCAGTATACCCCCACCATTCCCCCTCCCCCTCCTTATCGTGCAGCTCTTCAGGAATTGGTCTATCCACCTGCCCAGGATTGGGGATGGGTCATGAAAATGCAGTTGCTCACTCAGCTCTAGTCAAGCTGATTCCGTGATCCGGGGAGGTCTCCTGATAATGGTTGCCGTGCCACGCGGAAGTCGACCTCCCCTACAGTTTGACATGCTGACAGCGTCTCACTTTAGGAAGACGATTGGCCTTCCATTCCGGTATAGCGGAATCGCGCCTTTCTTCATGTTGTTGATCTACAAATCCTTCACCATTCACGAATACCTCAAGACAGAGGGGCTGACGCGTGACTCGCTCACCCGAAGGAAGGCTGGCATGGAGCGACTGATCCTTCCAACATCGATCTCGACTTGGCCACCATCTGATTGAGCGTCCTCCTACCATATTGACCACGCAATCGCTGCATATACCGGCGGGGCAGCAAGTCTTGGGTTGAGACAATGTTCAAGGGGTGTTGCTGCTTTATCGAGCCATGTGGCTTCGGCTACATAGGGTCCTTGAGTAGGTGTGGAGGAAGCCCCGGCTTTTACCGCCAGTAGTCCGATTAACCATCGCATGCTTGTGAGAGGGGAAAATACACGCCGTCTCCGATTGACATCGGTATGCCCTATGGATGCAGTATATAGATATGGTTTAGGACATTCCATGGATTCCATGAGTCTAGTGCTGACAAGATGAATTCAACTGGATTACTGGAAGTAAGACAGGCGCTAGAACTAGTTCGGAGTTGGCAAACTCCGAGTGGTTAAGCGGCTGCTGCCCAGAGGTGGGCACTGGCACTGGCTGGAGACTGCATGGCTGGCTTCTTTCCAAGTTCCAAGTTGTTCCCTCCTCGCTCCCCTCCGGCTAGTGGCCTAGCCTAACTGTAGTTTAGTCGGCCGCCTGGAAAGTCGCCCGCAATTTCACCACCTCCACTTCCTCCACTACTTTCTTTCCCTTTCACCAAACTCCTCCTTCTCAATGTCTTCTTGACGATCAACATCACCCTTTCCTTTCCTCTCTTCTTACTAGATACCGTGATTTGATCTTCTATTTTTCTTTTTTTCTGTGTACTGTGTGAAGGAATCCATCGGGCGAAAAAAAAAAAAAAAATAAAAACGTCACTCAACCGGTCAAATGGCCTCGACAACTAACAGTATAAATGGCGAGGCTGTGGCCGACCCCATCCCTATCGCCGTAGATCACGAGTCGCCTCAGGAAGACACCTACCCTGCTCCCTACGGTCGCTCTTGCTTTAACTGCTCTCAAGCCAAGTGCAAGTGTCTCTATCCAAAGGCAGGCGGTCGTTGTCAAAGGTCAGCTTAATTCATTCGCATGCATGCATCTATTCAAAAGGCGGTGGCATTAACCATCCTCTTTCCTTCAGATGCCAACGCTTAGATAAAGAATGTCGCCAATCTGCTGCCAGTCGACGTTCAACCACACGCAGGTCGGCTACCTCTTCCAAAAGCTCGGCCAAGATCTCTCGCCTGGAAGACAAGTTGGAGGATTTGGTCTCGCTGCTGCGCGCGGGAGTCCAACCGAGTAATGTCACGACCACGACCATGCTCGGCCTGCTCGGACAGCTGCCGGACAACCAGAACTCGTCAAACAGCAATGCCGCATCCCCTCCCAACATGTCAGACGTCCCCATGGGGGGCAGCAGCTCCCAACCCAGCCCAGTCTACGCCAGCCGCAACACTGGTTCCGCTTCCACCCCGGACACCAGCATTTCGGACAGCGGGGGTTCGTTATCTTCGGGCGCATCGTCACTGAACGCGATGGAACCGTCGGGCTTGCAAGCAGAGGAATTGCTCACCTTCTTCCAAACTCAAATGCTTCCGTATTTCCCATGCATGTATATCCCTCCAGGCACCACGTCGCAGAAGCTTCGGCGAGACCGCCCATTTTCGTGGCTATGCATCATGGCTGTCACGTCACGGAGCAGCGCGCAAAGTCGTCCGCTCTTCGATAGAATCAAGCACATTGTGTCACAGAAGCTGGTGCATGAGTACTCGTGTCGTGACCTTGATATCCTTCAGGGACTCTTGATCTATCTCGGATGGTAAGGTACCCCGCCTCAGGCCGGGTTTATGGGTGGCTGACCTCGATCGGCTCAGGTCCAATCAACAAGTTTACAATAAAGCCAACGTGCATGTATTCACTCAGCTCGCGAACGGCATTGTCTATGAGATGGGCCTCTTCAATCCCGAAGCGAAGGGAAAGCACGTCCTCTTGTGTGTGCACACGGAAGCACACGAAGACCGTGCAGCACCTCCCAGTCAAATCATGGAACAACGCCGGGCTGTCTTGGGATGCTTCTTGCTCACTTCTATGTAATGCTATCGCCCTTTTTTATTGTCGAGGCTAAACCCTAACATCAAATCTAGTATTGCTACCTTCCTGCAACAAAGCGACTCTCTGCGCTGGACATCCTACATGGACGAGTGTCTTCGTCTACTCGAAGAGCAGCAGGAAAGCATCAACGATGAGATACTCGTTCAGCAAGTTCGACTTCAACTGATCAATGACAAGCTTAGCTTGGGAGGCTTTTACGGCGCGTCTTCAACGTCCCGCGAATCGATGCGACCGTCGCCTGCTGTATACATCCGGCCGATGCAAGCTCAGCTTCAAACTCAACTTCAAGGAATTATGAGCAGAGTCCGACCCAACTCACAGGGATACAGTCAGTGACCGTTAAATCTTTGATCTTGAAATCAATCACTGACTAATATGATCCAGAAATCCTTCTATTGCATCACTACAACACCTCATTAAGCCTTTACGAGTCCGCACTTACGAAAGGTGCCATTGCCTCCATCACAAACGTGAGCTACGAGCATCTCGACTATCTTTATGGCTGCCTTGAGGCTACCAAGTCATGGTTCGACGTGTTCCTGAGCATTCCACCGGCGGAGTATATTGGGTTTCCTTTCGCTATCTTCTCGCAAATGGTGCAGAACCTTGTGACACTCTACCAATTGACGACCCTGGACAACTCCGTTTGGGATACAACCAATGTCCGCCGAACGGCAGATATCATACAGATCATGAACATGGTGATTTCCAACATGGGCCAAGTGGCGTCTCTCAACGGTATTGATGGTGATCCCGGTGGCGACATCTTCTCAAACATCGCCAAGACGTACCAGGCGGTGCGCATGGGTTGGGAGACCAAGCTAGATCCCACTCCGTTGGGCTCACACGTGGCGAATTCGATTCCATCGCTGTCGGTTCCAACGCTCTCGGAGCCCCCAGATGCCCTGTCCGTGTCAGACACCTTTCCTCTGGTCGAGGATAACGATTGGCTCGCGGACATGCTGAGCACGATGGACAGAAACAACAAAGGCCCAATGGCTGCCATACCCGGCGTCCCTGGCGTACCATGAGGCATTGTGTGACTGCAACCGACTCCCAGTTTCCTCTCACCAGAAGGCATCCCATAATACGTGCGATCCGAAGGGGTGCGACGGGCTAGTGCCCAGGCCTCAATGTCCCCGCTTCGTTCTCCTTGAGAGACCATGCTGTCTCTACACACGGGCTTTGATGGCGACCTTTCCCTACAAGGCAGATCATGCCGAGTTGGACGGCGTTAATAGCCAAGGAGACTTCGTTTCGCCGGGACTTCTTGACTCGACATCTATGATTCTTATGAATATACTGGAATAATTGATCGGACCAGACATATCACGGCTCGACGTTCTGGCGCGGAGGTTACCTTTTTCTTCGACCTTGGTCTTCCTTTAGAGTTTGGCACCTGGCTTAGATTCCCCCTGTGTTTGTGGATGTGTATCTCAGCGTGCGTGTGATGGCTATTCGATAACTAGATTTTGGCATCGGTTATGGTCAATAACTATCTACGATGGCGTGAATCACTGCCTCCTAGTGGATGGTTGGCAGCTTTGGAACCTTGAATACCCGTATTGAGGTTATAGATGTGGTCTATCCAGTAAACTTTGATGAACCAAAGACACATACATCCAAGGGGTTTGTCTAGTAGACCTAGAAGAGGATTCAATATCTACGTTTGCCAACTGACTTTCAGATGAGGTAATCTTGTTCGTGTGAGGGCCGTTAGACTACATTCCTATAAGTGGTTTGATTCCTCTCTCTTCATCTCTCGATGTCCGAGAAGACCGTGTCCGTGGTTAAGCTACCCTGCAGCGAAATTCTTATGTTGGTAGGTACCGTATCTGTTTGTCCTTGACCACGAGGATACATAGCCCAACTCCGTAGCTTCATCCTGCCTCTTGGTTGGTAATTCCAAATAAAGCATACCCACCTTCTCTTCTTGACGTGAATAAGACTGCGTAATATCTAGAAATCAACCCCCTGATTTCCGTGCGGGGAAATGTGTAGGACGGTTTGTATGTGTATGTACAGTTTATTATATGCCTTAAGTCTCGGTTATACCTATCTACTTCAGTGGTGGGTGGGATGAGGCACGGCTGTGAGGCCTACAGATAATTTATAGAACGAGGCCAAGGGCGATGAGTGCGTGGGGTGTTGGAATTCAACTTCGAGATGAAAGTGTTATATATATCCATGGGTCCAGCAATCTAGTATACTCGGCTGGTGTTTGATGATCAGCCGAGATGTGGTTCGGGTTTACTTCCGGGTGTGCAACCCAGATCGACCACGTGGGTGTGATGCAAGATTGATGGTGTGTGATTCCATCGACTAAGGGATGTCTCCATGAAGAAAATAAAAAGGTTGGACAGGACAGGGAGGGGGAGGTTGATGCAAGCCACTCACTGGTGCGGAGACAAAAAGAAAAAAGAGGAGGGAGAAGACACATGCACCCGATGGGGATTGAACCCATGACCTTCGCATTACAAGTGCGACGCTACTACCACTGAGCCACGAGTGCATCTGTGGCGAATTTGCTGCCGAGCGCGCGTCATACCTCCTGCACGGAAGAACATCAAGCGGGAAAATGAAGAGCAAAGAGCAAAAACAAATTCCGCCGACGGTTGTTCGTTCAATTGCACCGAATGGGGTTTGAACCCACGACCTTCGCATTACGAGTGCGACGCTCTACCACTGAGCCAC